TACATATTAATAATTCAACCAAATTGCAGTTTATTTACACAATAAGTCAATAAATATATACAATTTAGTATTGTGACCATCTTAAAAGACCTCATGTGTGCTATTGATACCATTTTACCCAATTCAGATGTATAAAAAATATGGCCAAATGATTTATCATTTAGTTTTTTAATACTTCTAAATATAACTTTCATCTCAAAATATTCTTATGACAATTTCTACTATTCTTCTATAGCATCATATTATAACCTACAGATACCATTTAATGTTTTACATGAAGGATGGAAATGTTAAAGGATGGTATGAGTGTCACTCAATCTGTAAAATGTCCATGATGCTTAAGTTCCATTCTCACAAAAGGCCCTAAATAAGGTCTGGCATGAGGAAAATATAGATGGGTTTATAGGCACTATATCTAAGATCATCACATATGTATTTTCAATACTGGGAAAGGCACCTAGGGCTTTGTGCATGCTGGGCAAGCACCTTGCCACTAAACTACACCCTAAACCTGTAAGATATTTTTTAAGAAAACAAACAAAAAAACCTAAATGTGAGTCCTTTACTAATATTCATCTTTGGAACTACAGATGTATTTTCATTTTATTTACTTTTTTAAAACAAGTTTGTATCAATAGTGGTTTATTAAAACACAAGTTTGTTTTGTGTTTTTGTTGAATTTTCCCTGTTATAGGTTTTTGTCTAAAATTATCCCTATTCTTTCAACAATTCTGTATTCAAGACATCCTGTTAAATTTTAAAAATAATATTTATTTTTAGTTGTAGTTGGACACAATACCTTTATTTATTTATTTTTTGGTGGTGCTGAGGATCGAACCCTAGGCCTTGCACACATTAGGCAAGTCTTCTACTGCTGAGCCACAACCTCAACCCCATCCTGTTAAATTTTAAAGATGACACTCTTTTATGTTCCAGCATAGCAAGTTGGCATGTTTGCCAAGATTCTCGAGGCCAAGGAGCAATTCTTGTACCTCATTATATCAGTCACATAATTAGTTTAAATAAATGTCTTTTATTTTTGCTGTTGGATGTATAGATAAAAGAATGAAAAAAAGTACTATTTATACTCAGTTTTTAAAAATTGTATGTTTTTTCATAATTGTCTCTGGAATTAAGAAGCAAATCAACAGAGTGAGTGTCTACTGAAATAAAAGATGCATTTACCTAGACATATTAAATATAAAAGTTAAAATATGCAAATTCTAAGACAGCAAATTAAGTCAATCTTCTAACCTGGAGTTGGAAAAGTTCATTCAAGTCAATCTCCATTTTAATTTTCAATCTCAGTGTCTTAATATGGAATAGCAGCAACTATCTACAGAACTTGAAATTATGGTCATAAACTATATTTGCTATATATCCTATTTTTTTCTACTATCCCAATGAGAGGGGACGTTATTTCCTATAATTATAGTAAGAGTGTCCACTCAACACACTCTCTCATATCATTACTTCTTCAAGAGCTACATCTATTTTTCTTTATCATCCCTAGCACAATGCTAGTTCAACATGAAATGGACCCTCACTTCTGTGGCTATTATATTTAGCTATCTTCCTGCTTCCTCTTAGAATCATTTTTCATTTTTTTCTTCACATATAAGCTAGGGGCTAATGTTTACAGTAATACAAATAAGACTAATTTCTCCAATGAAAATTATTTTAGAGGTTTCAACTATTATTAATATAACACAAATTTTACATGTAAACTACAGGAGCCTTCAGAAATGCTACCCTAATCTTGTCCTAATATTTCCATGATTTACTAGGTTCCGGTCTTTTTGTCTTCCTTTCTGTCTCATGGACATGCCAAGCCCTTCTTCACTAACTTTGGCGTTCTGTCTGGTTTTGGTTCCTCTTAACATCTTTTCTCCAACTTATCACACATTTGGCACCTACATATTATATAGGATTGGTTTAAACATAATCTCCCTAGCATCATGGTGTATGTCACCAAAATGATTTTAATCTATGATATTATTTAGATATTGTTATTCTCTCTCTTTTGGTAAGCTACATTAGGACATAAACATTACTCTTGGTTTTCTCTAAGTACCTGATGCCCAGCACTTTCAGGGAACATAGGAGATGTTCCAAATATTAATCATTGAGTGAATGAACAAGACAATGCTGTGCCGGCAATATACAGGGATAAAACAAAATAATGTCCTTTTGAAATTTTAAAACAAAGAAAACACTTTCTTTGACATTAACTAATGTTAAAACCAAATCAAACCAACAAAACCCTATTATATTCTTGACACAATTTTCACCTCACTATTGAAATAAACTCAAATTATATTGTAGATTAAATTTCCATTTAGAAAAAGGGTATATCTTCTTTGTTAATTGATTATTCATAATAAACTAGGTCCTATTTTAATATTCATCTGAAGTACAGCATAGCTTTCCTTGTTTTTAGTTATTAGAAAAGTATTTTAGCAATTGTTTTGGGAGACAATTGTAAGTCCTCTGTCTCCAAGTTCTAGGCCAAAAATAATCTGTTTTTCTCTAAAGACTGTGGACATTTCATATAAATGGAATCTTATAATACATATTCTTTTGTGACTGGCTTCTTAGGACAAAGTTTTCAAGATTTATTTAGGTTGTAGTATTAATTAGTACTTCACTCTTTTAGTTAGTGAATAATATTGCATTGCATGAATATACTCATTTTTAATGTATTTATCAGTTGATGGGTATTTGAGTTACTTTCACTAGTTGACTATAATGAATAATGTTGTTGTCCATTCTTTCAGTTATTCAAATCCTAATAGCTCACATGTGACACTGGGATAATAAAATATATACTCAAGACGTTTTTTCTTTTCCTTGAGGACTAAGTAATATAATTAACAAAAAGGTTATTTTAGACTAAAACTTATTAAAAATAAGGTGCATTTTCTTTTGATTTCTTATATAATTTCTGCCAATTTATAAACACCAATTCCTTATACTGCTTTTTTACCATTTAAAGTATAAAGTAAGTTTATTTTACTGTGAGAAAACTAATAAAGAAAAAAATTAAAAATGAAATAAAAGGGCAGATGTGTAGGAGATATTGTTAGCTCTCATTTGCTAATTACTTAATATATTCAAAGTAATTTGGAATAATACAAGAAATGAGATTTACTCCATGGTAACAATTTGTGAGTATAGCATATACATGTATAATTCTTTGAAATACTTATGAATTAACAAAATAACCTCCCGTGTGATTAAATGCAGTAAAATTTTCATTTATTACATGTATTTCATATTTAATTATAGGATCAATCAATCAAGGCAGGCTTTCTAAAAGGGTGAGTAGAAACATTAAAAATGTTTGAATAAATCAAATAGGAGGAGAAAACTTTAATTTGGAAATAAAAAGAGAAATTTTAGAAATTTCATAAACAATTATTACATGTATATAGAAAAGGAAGAGAGATGATAATGTGGATGGATATACTGAAGAGTATATGAATATTCAGCATGTTTTATTATTTTTATAATAAAAACCACAATATAATAAAAACACAATATAATAAAAGACACAATAACTTGTGTTATTTAGCAATAACACAAGTTATTGTTAAATCTCAATTATTGTTAAATTGAAACAAGTTGAGCCTTAATAGGCATATGAAAATCAAAATATTTTCCAGTAAAAATGCTCTTTGCCCATTGGTTGCAGTATATCCATTAAAACATTCTTGATTTGAAGAGAGTTTTATGGATTTTTATGGCAAGATAAAATACATTTTTGTTAAATAAAACAACATATAAAAATTTAGAAGATTCAAAATTTGGTTGCATAGAGGCAAAGCAAGAAGTATACTGAAATCCACTAGAGGGAGCTGATATTATTTTAAAGTTTTATAACCTAATTCCCCATCAGAAAAAATAAATCCCTTAGCAAAAACTGCTTTGAAAGTATAAGAGAATTTTTTTTTTTGTATTTTGCTTTATGTAGTTCATTTCATTTTCTAAAAATAAAAAGCTAGGAAATGAGGAAAGCTTCACTTTTTCAGCATATTAATTCTAGAAATGTTATTATATAGTAAATTTTTTGAAATATTTACAAAGAAATGCAATGGGAAAACATATCTTCCAACTAATTGAAATTTTTGTAGGAAACAAACACATATCCTTACACTTCTTATAAAATGGATTTTTAAAAATATTTTATCTTTATGCCTTAATCCCCAAATATATCCTATAATTCTTTGTATATTCACATGAACACATATGTATGTATGTATGTGTGTGGCAGATCAAAAACACATTTACTGGAGAATAAAACTGTTAATAAACACGTGTCTCAAAAGAAACTTATCTTAAAATTTAAATTGATGGATAGAGATATTTCTGAGCAGGTACTAGGTATATTAAGAGAAAATTAGTGAAAGACAGAGATCTTGAAAAATTTGCTAGTCACATGGTATACATTTGTATAACCACTTTATTTTTATTTTTCATTTTATCAAAGGAGAAAAGGATAATTTATATAATTATAGTTATCCAAAAGTAAAATATAGCCCAAAGTATAATTTTTCCATAACTGAGTTTCAGTTGCCACATATATGCTATAGCTATAGTACTCTCCATGTGAATTGATAGACATATTAAAAGATGCCTACAAAAATATCTTTATACAGAAAAAACTGGATTTAATGAAAGCCTGCTCATATGGCCTCAACTGCTCTTTTATTTTCTTCAATATTCAAAATGCCTGATTCTGAAATTTGCAACCCACCAAGGATAAGTTATAGCTATTAAAAAACATGTTTTATTTGCTTTTCAGTGCAGTTGTGAAATTATTATGGGGGGGAAGAAATATGTTGTTTGCCAACACAAGGTATTTTATTACTTATTAACAGAGGTTGTAGAGAAATAGTTCTATCCAAAAAGTTATTCTTTAATGTTAGTATTTTCTGTTCTCCACACAAATAATCAATTTGAAAAATTTCAAGTTAGTACTTTATAGTATTTTTACTTACTTGTTTGTAGCTCTTTCTCTCTGGCCTGCACATCAGCAAAGACTTGGTTAAAATGATTTGTAAAGGCCACAAAGTCTGCATCCAGGAACATTGGCCCTTGTCCTTTCTCTTTCAGGGCTATGCTTTGAATTTTTAATCGCTCAATTTGAGGCTGAAGAGCTGACAGCCGGTTGACTTCATCCTGTACCATAATTTAGAGTATTAAAAGTAAATAACACTTTTACTTTGCATACATTACATTTTGCAAACTAAATTGTTAAAAGGCAGCGATGCAAGCTTAACTTAATACCTTTAACAAACACTGGATAAGAAACATCCATGATGGTTTAAGAAAATCTAAACCACTAATCATCAATTTAAGAATGCCAGGGCTCTATTTTCAATTTCTATTACCATATATGATGATCTTTAAATTCAAGATGATATCATTTAGAGAATTAATGGGCATGAATGCATGCACTGGAAAAGTACTTTGAATGATCTTAAATGTTTTCCATAAAAAGATGTTTGACTGCACCCTGTTATCTCAAAATTGTTTGCCTTTGCTTCAAACTCTAAGTTCATTCAATAAATAATATTTATTATTTCATGTGTATAAATATAAATTATATGTACTCTCTAGATATATGTATACATCCATACTGTATTAGATTACAATACATAAACATTGTAGATCTTATGCATATATAATATTTGCATATATACACACACACACACACATACACACACATACACACACACACAGTTAATGTATATACTTATATCTGTATGCCTCTACCTTTAGTATAGCCTCATTGCTTCTCCTGACCAATCAAGCAATTGCCACTTTTACAAATATGCTGATTATTTGTCTAGGTTTTCTTTTGTCCTGATATGATTATTAACAGCACCCATTTTCACTCTTGATATTACTCTGGTTTAGATGGTAAAATCACATGGATAGTGATGTGCTGTCCAAAATGGTAGTCACCAGAAGCACACAGCTACTGAACACTGGAAATATGGCTTTTTGAAATTTAGATGTACAAAATTTTAAAATTCACACTGAATTTTATTTATTTATTTGTTTATTTATTTATTTTTGTGGTTCTAGGAATTGATCCCAGGACCCTGTGCATGTGAAGCAAGCACTCTACCAACTGAGCTATATTCCCAGTCCCTACACTGAATTCTTAACACTGAGTGTGAAAAAATTAACAACACAAATGATTTCATCATTTAAAAATATTGATTAAACTTCAAAATAATATTTTTGACAAGTCAGGTTAAATAAAAGGCCCTATGAAATTAATTTACCTATTTCTTATATTTAAATATAGTTTCTACAACATTCAGAAGTCTATATATGATTTGAGTTTGTGTCTTGCATTGTATTTGTTTTGGACAGTGCTTTTCTCTGCATAAATGTTTTTGTACCCTTGTTTCCAGTGAAATTTTAATTAGTTTGTATTTGATACTTTCATAACTTTAACTCAAACAGAAATTTGAAGTGTTCTTTTAAAAATATCACCATGGTTGCTTACTTGTAATTGATACCTGTGCTACCTTTAGAAAAAAAAAAAAGCACTTGGGGTTGTTTACCATTTAATATGTAAAAAACAGGATAATTAACATTAAAAATTGGAACATGAGCCAATTACAAGGAGGGAAAAATTAAAAGAATTACAGCAATTATGAACTAAATTTAAATCTGAGCTTCCTGGCAATCACAGAGAAAAGGCAAAATAAAATCAATTGTTAATTTTGGATGCAGGCATATTATTTTGGAGAGAGTAATTTGTCTTGGGATGTTAGAAATGAATTTATCACCTAAAAACTTCTTTCACAGCAGCAAGACTACATTATGGTCAATGCTACTTGTTCTGCTTTAGAAGATATTAAGATAACTTTCCAAGGAATGATAGTATGATGTTATAATCATTAGTTGATTCAGGTAGGCTAATTTCTAACAGTTGAAATCTTTGGATAGTTGAAGACTGAGGACATTTAAACAAATTGGAAGGTAACCCATCTGGTCTTTATTCATTCAAATAGAAATCATTTCATCAAGTGCTAGAAGATTAGTACATATCCATGGACAATGAATATTAAATAGATAAAGGATAAATCCTATGTATTTCTTTACATAATACACATTGTATACTAGATTCACAAAAGGCAGCATTGACATCTGCTGTGAACATTTAAGAAACTGATTTACATTATGCCAGATGGAGGGCAGTCATTTTTTCCCATTCAATGGGCTCTAGAAATCCTAAAGTACAATCAAGTGTGTTGCACAAAACAAAGCTGACTTTGAAACCAATAAAACATTTGTACAAATGCTCACTCGAGACTAAAAATTCTGAGGATAAATCATAGGAGAAATCATTTTGAACTGAACTATTTGACATTTAAAATATGTTAACAATTAGCCACTGTTTCTATAAAAGGGCTTGGTGTGATCTTCCCTCCAAGATAAGGGATCTTTTCTGAGCTTGTTTATCCTTTAGAATAATATGCTTACCTGATGAAAATTTTTGTACTTTTTTCAGGAAAGGGTCATGAATTCCTTCTAATTCTCAAAAGGTTTTCTAAACCACAACATATTAAGAACCAGTTGTGCTGAGCATTAGATTATAAGCTACATCTATACTCTAATACAGAAATGTCTCCAAAAAATAAAAAGAAAGAAAGAATGAATTGTGGAGCACACCTGTAATCCCAGGGGCTCTGAAGGCTGAGGAAAGAAGATTGTGAGTTCAAAGCCAGACTTAGCAACTTAATGAAGTCCTAAGAAACTCAGTGAGACCCTGTCTAAATAAAATATAAAAAAGTGCTGGGGAGGGCTGGGTTTGTGGCTCAGTGGTAGAGCACTTGCCTAGCACATGTGAAGCCCTGGGTCCGACGCTCAGTACCACATAAAAATAGATAAAAGAAAGGTATTTAATAAAAGGGGGGCTAGGGATATGCCTCAGTGGGTAAGTGCCTGTGAATTCAATCCTCAGTACCAAAAAAGAAAACCAAAAAGAAACAATTAACAAATCAGATGATGTAATTTATTTACCTATCATTAGTCATAGTCAAATATTATAATTGTATCTCTTGAATGAGTGATATTAAGCTTATCTGCTAAATATTTTACTTAAACTGATTTAAAAAATTAATAGGAACCCAAAGGTCAGGGAGAAAGAGTAGTGGTTGATAAAGAGAAATGGGATTGTGTCATCATAAGCCGAAACTTTGTGGCTGGATGCACAAAAAAAAAAAAAAAATTCATTTTGGATGACTCCAACAACCTTGAGAGAATATTTATACACCTATCACGGATTTCACATTGCTCCTCAGATTAAGATCAAAATTCTAGCATATTCCCCTCAAATTATTATTTGTTTGCATACATCTGACTTTTCACCTTCATTGCTCATCCTAGTTCCCTACTCCTCTATGTTCCACATTCACAAAGGCCTTTATTTAGTTGCTTGGTCTTCACTGCACCCTCCCACCTTGTTCCTTCTTGTTTTTATATTTTCTTCTGCAATACTGGGGACTGAAATTAGGGATCCTTTACCACTTAGCTACATAACCAACTCTTCTTATTTTTTGAGACAAGAGTGTTTTACTCAATTTCCAGACTGGTCTTGAACTTTTGATCTTCTTGCTCCAGCCTTTCAGATAGCTGGAATTACAGGCATGTGCCACCACACAAGGATCCCATTGTATTCCTTTTGAATGCTTTTTTAATGCACTGTTCTCTTATTTAATGCTAGCTCATCATAAAAGTCTCAACTAAAATATATCTCCATCAATGAAGCTGTTCTTGGTAGCTGCATCTAGGTCAGGTTTTCCCTGTTAGACATTCTCCCAAAACTATGTACTTTTGGTTAAAGTATTTGTCTCAGAGATAATTTGTCCAAGAAGTGATTTTTATATCTATTTATTTATTCATTTGCTTAATGTACCTGTCCCCTACTCTGTGTACATATAATAAAGCCAAGGTCAATATTCACTCTTATTCCCCAAAACTTAGTGCTGTGTTTTTCTTAGTGAACTGTGTTTCTTGAAAATTTATATGTGGGAGCCTTAACCCTCTAGGAGGCCCTACTTAGAGATAGAGCTTTTATATGGTATTTAAGGTTTAAAGATGTCATCAGGGTGGAGTCACAATCCTAGAGAATTGGAGGCTTTATAAAATCAACCTCTCTCTTTCTCTCTCTCTCCTTCCCTCCCTCCACCTTTATACATGCACTGAGGAAATTATGTGAGGTTGCAGTTAGAAGGAGCCATCTACATGCCAGTGAATTCCTTCTTAACAGAAGTTGAACTCCACCAAACTTGATCTTGAACTTTATGTTGCTGAAATCAATCACTTAGTTTTGTTTGTATGTTTTGTCATAGCAGTCCAAGGTAGCTAATTTACTTAGCATCATTCTTGACTATGTTAGAGATACTGAATATATATTTTAAGGATGAACATATTTTGTGGATGTTACTACTAATTTCTATATTTGAATCTCAAGAATCAGGTTAAGGTAATATCATTATATATTTTTTAAGAAATACCTAATGTGAATTAGTCCTCCAATTCATAGGAAAGAAGCCAAGGGTTCTGTTACTAAACTATAAAACACATGCAAATATAGAAAATTCCTAGTTTACATATTTGTTTAATAAACTAAATGCCTTTGTAGTATTTTCTTTATTTTTTTAAAAAACATACTTCTTGAGATTATTTACTTATTGGAAAAGTTGTAAATCTAATATTTAGAGAAAAAACATCAAGCCCTTCAGTTTCTACCCACCTTTAAAAGTAACTTTAGGGGACTGTGGTTGTGGCTCAGTGGTAAAGTGCTTGCCTAGCACGTGTAAGGCACTGGGATCGATTATCAGCACCACAAATAAATAAAATAAAGGTCCACTGAAAACTAAAAATTAAAAAAGTAACTTTGAGCTCGTCACTACTTTCTGGGTTCAATATCTTTACCAGACCTTACTGTCACCTCTCCATCTCCAGTCCCTTTTATTTAAAGCATTCTTTTAAGAGTATTCAAAGTAACCTCCATTCATATTGAATACATTCACCTCAATCATTAATGGTTCATTCAGGAAACCTTTCTATCCATCTTTTAATCAATTTCCCATTTCCCAGGAAAAGTGTGTAGTTCATGGTAATGATGGGAAGTATTCAAGCTATTTTCATTTTTATAGATCTCTAGTTTTCGTGTCATTTGCAATTATGGTCTTTAATCTCTTTCCCAGGCCCATTTGTGTCAGTTCCATCTTGTTTGCCCCTCCCAATCTACTGTCCACTCTTCTTCTCTGACCCAAGATAGATATTTACAGATTACAGCCCCCTTGACTTTGCCTTCTGATTAATATTAATCAATGTGAAGCCCTGTCCTGATTCTGAAGGTAGGTAGTAAAGTAGTTTATTTTAAGGGCTTCATTTCCTTCAGGGTGGTTTCGGCTAGATCTTCATCTTCCTTTTACTATTGGAATCTAACTCTTTTTGAGCTTCTATAAGCTCTCTCCCTCATTTTTTTCTGGCCTAAGAGAGGTAAAAACTCTGCTGTTTGATTGATGCAGACTCTCCCTTGAGGTTCCTATATACTCCAACACATTTGCAATGAAATCTTAAATTATCCTAATTTAAGTAGGCTTTTAGTTTAAAATTTTCCTTGTTTATCCAATTGTATAGCATAGCAATTTCTTGTTGACCTGTGTTTCTAGCTATTTGTATAGATCCACTTTTTCAGCACATGATTGAATTTTGTTCCTATCAAGGAAAGAGCTCCAAAATATGGGCCTTTTTTTTTTAAGACTACCATAGTTTCCACACTAACCATTTTGCATAGTGACAACATCAATTAACCATGAATATCTTTGCTGAATATACATTTAGGACTTCAACATCCATACACTGCTTATTCAAACTGATTTTCTTTGCTTATATTTTAATCTTTACTATGCTTAGATAAATCCAGAGAAGGGGAAAATTTCCTTACTAAATACTTTTCTATTTACCTCTTGAAAATCGCCTTAAAATGACTCTATTGATCATGCTCCAAATGGAAGGAGGAAAGAAAGATTCTTACCTTACAGATTTTTAACTGGCTTTTAATTGCTGTTGGCTCTGATGTGGTGGTGGGTTGGGTTTTCAACCAATTTTCAGCAGTAGTTGTCATCTGCTCCAATTGTTGTAACTGATTATAGAAGATGATGATGTTGTTCTGATACTCCAGCCAGTTAAGTCTCTCACTTAGCAACTGGCAGAACTCTATCCACCGGCTGTTCAGTTGTTCTGAGGCTTGTTTGATGCTGTCAGCATTAACACCCTCTAGAAAGAAAAAGAAATTTAAATATATCCCCTGAAGCCACAGACGAAAAGAAATGATCTGAAAACCAATATGTTTCTACTCTACAAGTATTCACTATATGAATGATTTCAAACAACAAGATTTATTTACTGATAGAGATCTAAAAGTATGGAGATGATTTCTGATTGTCCATAGGGAATAATAGAAGTTGTATAAGTAACACATTATGTGAATTTCATAAAGTAATAAATGAAGTGACCTACAAGAGTAGAATGTATTAAGTAAAAAATAAAGTGATCAAAACTCTGATGGGGGAGATGGAAGGCTGATAATTGAAAAACTTTTTGATATTTCCAAGTAAATATTCAATATGATGTTTCATTAATATATATTTTATAAAATTGAATTGCATTTTATATTTAAAAATGAGTTTGGGAATGAAATATAACTTGCATGCTTTTTAAATTTATTTTTTAGATGATGGTAGAATACATTTTGAAATATTATACATATATAGATAAGTATAACTTGTTCCAAATTAGGATCACATTATTGTGGTTTTACATGATGTGGAATTACAAAGATTGTATAATTATTTAAGAAAGATGTGTCTCATTCTCTGTCTTTCCTATTACCACCCCCCCATCCCTTCCTTTCATTTCCCTTTGTCTAGTCCAATGAATTCCTAATTTTGCCCTCCCTTGTTGTGGGTTAGCATCCAAATATCAGAACATTCTGCCTTTGGTTTGGGGGGGCTGGCTTATTTCACTTAGCATGCCATAATTTCATTCTTCTTTATGGCTGAGTAATGCCATAATTTCTTTCTTCTTTATGGCTGAGTAATATTTCATTATGTATATACACAACATTTTCTTTATCCACTTATCTGTTGTAGGGCGGCACCTAGGTTGGTTCTATAGCTTGGTTATGATTAATTGAGCTGCTATAAATATTAAAGGGCCTACATCACTGTAGTATGCTGATTTTAAGTCCTTTGAAATAACCAAGGAGTGGGATAACAGGGTCAAATGGTAGTTCCATTCCAAGTTTTCAGAGGAATCTCCATCCTGCTTTCCAGAGTTACTGACCATTTTGCAGCAATGTATGAATGTACCTTTTCCCCCACATCCTCACCAACATTTATTGTTGCTTGTATTCTTGATAATTGCCATTCTGACTGGGGTGAGATGGAATCTCTGTGTAGTTTTAATTTACATTTCTCTAATTGCTAGAGATGTGAATATTTTGTCATACAATTGTTAATGGATTGTATTTCTTCCTCTGTGAAGTGTCTGTTCAGTTCCTTAGCTTTTTTATTGATTTGTAGGGTTACTTTTTTGGGGGGTGGGGGCAGGTTAAGATTTTTTGAGTTCTTTGCATATCCTTGAGATTAATGTTCTATTAGAGATGCTGGTGGCAAAAATTTTCTCCCATTCTTTAGGCTCTCTGTTCATGTTCTTGATTGTTTTCTTTGCTAGGAAGAAGCTTTTTAGTTTGATGCCATCCCATTTATTGATTATTGTGCTTTAGGAAACTTATTTAGGAAATCAGTTCCTAAACTGACATGTTAGAGAGTTGGGCCTACTTTTTTTCTAGTAGACACAAGGTCTCTGGTCTAATGCCTAGGTCCTTGATTCATTCAGAGTTGAGTTTTGTGCAGAGTAAGAGATATAGGTTCAATTTCATTCTACTGCATATGGATTTCCAGTTTTCCTAGCACCATTTGTTGAAGAGGCTATCTTTTCTCCAATGTATGTTTATGACTTCTTTGGGTAATATGAAATAATTGTATTTATGTGGGAATGACTCTGTTTTCTAATCTTTTCCATTGGTCTTCATGTCTGTTTTTGTGCCAGTACCATGTTGTTTTTGTTACTATAGCTCTATAGGATAATTTAAGGTCTAGTATCAGGATGCTTCCTGTGACACTTTTCTCACTAAGGTTTGCTTTAGCTATTCTGGCCCTCTTATTTTTCCAAATGAATTCCATGACTGCTTTTTCTACTTCTGTGAAGAATGTCATTATTATTTTAATAGGAATTGCATTAAATCTGTATAACACTTTTGATAGCATTTCCAATTTGATGATATTAACTTTGCCTACCCAAGGACATGGGAGATCTTTCTATCTTCTAAGGTCTTCTTCAATTTCATTCTTTAATGTTCTACAGTTTCCAGTGTAGAGGTGTCTCACCTCTTTTGTTAGATTGATTCCCAAATATTTTATATTTTTGAGGCTATTGTGAATAGGACAGCTTTCCCGATTTCTCTTTCAGTTGATTCATCATTGGTGTATAGAAATGCAACTGATTTATGGGTGATAATTTTATATCCTGCTACTTTGCTGAACTAATTTATGAGTTCTATGATTTTGCAAAAGGATAAAAACAATGATCCAAAATTCATTATTCTCTATTATTGCTATTGGTTGTCTAGAAATTAACAGATTGTCCGTTGAACCAAGAAAGTATATTAAGCACTCAGAAAAATAATCTTTCTAGTATGAAAAAGATTTTTACTTATAAATATGGAAGCTAATTTGAAAGATTTAAAATCACCTACACCAAAACCAAAATCAGGAAAACTCTATCAAAGGCAAAAATGAAACATAAGCACACCATTACTCTTTTGGAATATTTACCATGTGTCAGGGAATGTGCTATGTCTTTTCATAGATGACATGTTAGATAGTCTTTTTTTCATAATTTGAAATATAACTAAGCCCAGTATTATATTATCCTATACACAGCATGAAAGTATGCCAACATTATACTATACTATGAGTTAATATATTTCCTCTCAAAATTAGTTCACAAACTTTAGATTTTCTTAGATATGTCAGTTTATATAGAACTCCTTTAATAAATGCTATTATATAAAGCAGAAAATAATTACTTTGTGAATTTTAAAATAACAACTTTAAATATATTATTTTGTATGTGACAGTGTGTGTGCGCGCGCGCGCACAAGAGAGAGAGAGAGAAAGAGAGAGAGAGAGAGAGAGAGAGAGAGAGAGAGATATGTTTGATACCAGGGATTAAACATAGGTATTCTTTAACAATGAGTCACATCCCCAACCCTTTTTATGTTTTTTTGTTTGATTGATTGTTTTGAGACAGGATCTTGCTAAATTGCTTAGGGCTTAGCTAAATTAATGAGGCTGGCTTTGAAGTGATTCTCCTACCTCAGCCTCCCAAGCCATTGGGATTACAGGCTTTCACCATCATGCCTTACTTATAAATACTAAACATTTGAATGTTTCATGTTCCCATATTTATACCCTAGGATTCAAAGGGAGGAGTAACTCACCCACAAATTCTTCTTCTAGATTAAAATATCTAAGGGGTAAAGTTATTTAGTAGAAGACTAAGTTGCCTAAGAGAATCTTCTTTTTGAATGTTCATTTTACTTAAATTTCTGCAACATGTAAATGGAAATTAAACTCCTTTTTTGTAATCTATTTTTTCTTTTTTTTTTCTTTTTTTACATGTACATGGCAGTAGAATGTAGTTTGACAAATTATCCATATAACACATTCTAATTAGGATCTCTTTCTTCTGGTTGTACATGATGTGGAGTTTTTCTGGTCGTGTATTTATATATGAAAGTTATGTCCGATTCATAGTACTGTCTTTCCTATTCGAGAAACTAAATTCCTAAAAAGTCTGAAGGACATCTCTAGCAAACATAAGGCTGGTGATTTTGCTAACTTGTACATGCCTCCCACTTCATCCTTTTTAAAGACTAAAGATATGGATTTCAATTCTACATCTATATTATCTCGTTAAATTTTGCTCTGTTCAGATATTTTAATTTCCATTTGTTGCAAACCAAATCTCTCAATTTCTTCCAAACATAAATCTAATTTTAATAAAATTCATAGTATGATACTACTCAAGATAACATCTACTACTCAAGAAACAAACATTTCAATCCTTCTTTTGAAGGATATTTTTCTAAATAGGTAAAATGAGGAAAAAATAATAAAAAATAATACATACCTGTCTCTGTATATTGAGCTATGGGAAAGCCCATAGATTAGAGAAACTAAAAACTCTCCTAATTCCTTCCTAATATTTGAGGGAAGAATTAATCTTATTGAGACATGTGGAAGTATGGCGTTATATGCTGTTCATGATAATTTGGTTTTTAGTAGTGAACAAGAATTATACCAAAATATGTTCTGAAGAATGCTACTAAGTAATTGTAAAATAATGATGTTTGGTATAAAGTATAAGAAAAGAATATAAAACTCTGATCATGTCTGGCACTTTTTTTGAGAAAAGGTATTATGGTACAATGTTAAAATTGTTTCTGGAAAATGAAAGGGCAAAATTTAAAAATACACAGGGGAGAATTTTTAATTGTTAGGCAATGTCTTAAAAATGTGCTGTGGATTTAAATGATTACATGTTTATGAGAAAGATTTTCAGCATGTGTTGAAAAAGCACTTAGAAGAAAGAAGTCCATGATGTGTAAAAAGTCAACAGAAACCAGATATTGAGTAGGCAAATAAGAGATACTAAAGCAAATTAAAGGTACTGATGGATTATGCTGGACTATACCTTAATTAACATTTGTTTAAATGTAAGCCAACACAGAGAGAAAACTTTCTGTGCTCTTGAGAAAGTGCAACCTTACCAACCCTATTATAAATTAGAAAAATAACCATGAATTAATTTTCATTATAAATAATATAGTTGACTATTTCCAAATGATAAATCAAGCTATAATGAAACATCAACACATTATGTGGTATCTATTAAAATCCTAGCAGCAAATTTTAGTGAATTTTGTTGATCATTAAATAAAATTCTATGCTCTGTCCAAACAAACAAAAAAAAAGTAAAGATGTTGAACATGTCTGAAAAGGAATTAAAGGAGAAAGACTTCCACATTAGGACAAATGGGGAAACAAGATAAAAGGTATAGAAATTAAGAGTCAGAATTTTAGATTTAGACAGATCTGAGTTCAAAATGAATGTCATTGGCCAGGCACAGTGGCACACTTCTAAAACCC